AAAGATTAAAAACTAACATTTATTGAGACCTTACTTTGTGCTGAGCATTATGCTAATCACTGTATTTTATTACCTCGTTTAATCCTTGCAAAAAACCTTTGAGGTACATATTATTTAGCTGGTCTCTAAAAGAGAAAAAAAAAGCAAATTTAAGAAGTTTATGAAGGCTGGCAATCTAACATGGAAGTTAGTTGCATGGGTGACAGGGCAGAAGTGCCTGGGTTCAAATCTCAGATTTATCCTATAAGGTTGGACAATTTTTTTTTAACTCTTTGTGATATAGTTTCCTCATAGATGAATGTGGGTATTATGAAAAGCTGCATCATATAATGGTCTATGCAATTAAATGAGGTAGTGTATGTTTTTAGTATTACTCCTGAAATAGAACTGTTCAATACATAATAATCAACGTTACATATAATATGTATATATCAATATATTAATATTACCATCGTTGCCATTTTCATACTAGATTACTCAGTGTCTAAGTTACAGACCTAAATTTATTTTTTTAAGTTTATTTACTTATTTTGAGAGAAAGAGAAAGAGACAGAAAGAGCAGGGGAGGGGCAGAGAGAGAGGGAGAGGGAGAATCCCAGGCAGGCTCCATGCTGTCAGGGCAGAGCCTGATGTGGGGCTCAAGCTCACAAACTGTCAGATCATGACCTGAGCTGAAACCAAGAGTCGGACACTTAACTGAATGAGCCATCCAGGTGACCCAAGTTACAGATCTAAATTTAAAACCAGGTCTGACTACAATGACTTCCCTCTATTCATCAATATAGTGAGTGCTTTGTAAGAGTTAACTATTGTAGCACAAGGAAATCTCAACACAAATCAGGCATCAAATACTTTCTAATTCCTCCTAGATACCTCCTCTTTTCCTTCTAGCTGTCAAGAGAATAATTCAACAAGGGCTATGGCTCTCACTTCTAATTTTGCATACAAATGTCTTCAGTTTTCACTGTACTCCTCAGATAGGTCTTTTACAAACTACCTCCTTTACTCCTTATCCTTGTTCTGCCCTGTAAATATTGATTGTATTCAGGATTACATTTTTGGTTAAATTTTCTCCTTCTTCTGTCCTCTTATACCAATTATATGCCAATTACCTTGATCAATAAAAGACAAATCCAGACCTACTAAGAAGAGACTGCATTTGAAAGGACTATTGCAAGGAGTGGACAAAAGAGATTGCTGTGGTAGAGACAGCACTATAACCACAATATACACGTTTCTCAAGGGTTAGGCCAAAGGGTTTTTCTTTTACTGGCAGAGGAAATCAAGGCTGGAAAGAACCAGGTATGGTGAAGTGAGATGAATGGGAGTGGCATGATTAAGCAGTAGATTAGAGAATGATATATCCTGAGGCCATCCTATTCTCAGGAGAGGCTGTTAGAGACAGGCTGTAAGCTCACCTAGGCTGAGGGTGATCCAAAAACCATGGGCCTGGGGAAGGAAAGGGTCTTAAGGAAAGTGTGGCTACTAAGTATCTAGTACTGACCAAGGAGGGAGAAGCAAGTTTAGTCATCTATCTGGCAAAGGATGGGAATTTAGAGGGTCTGTGTCTGGTCTTCTCATAGGTAAACAAGGGGACATCTGGGAGTCTCACCTAAATCATTTGGGAGCAGGGTGGTTCTTTTCAGTAAGCCATTTCATGAAACACAGAAGATGGGGAGATTTCATAATGTTCTCAATTTTTCAAGATCACAGGGTCTGGGATAAACTTAAACGATGTCAACTTAATGTACCTAAGTATGCCAGAGAGACATCATCACCCTTAAATAATATGAGCATTTCAAATCAACATTTCTGAAACTAATCATTTTTGATAAAATTGAAATTCTTTTTGGCTTTGACTTTGTTGGTGAGACCACCAAAAATGATGTAGTCACCTAAATGTCTGGAGATGGGAAGCTAGGAAAAGGAAAGTATTGTTGGCTAATCCAACTTCATCTTTGTATCATATATTTAACAGGTATAAAATATACACAAATAGGAGATGGCAACAAACATTAATTTTTTTACATTGATTTATTTATTTTGAGAGAGAGAGAGAGAGAGAGAGCCAGCAAGTGAGGGAGGGGGAGGGGCAGGGAGAGAGAACGAGAGAGAGAATCCCAAGCAGACTCCACACTGTCAGTGCAGAGATCATGATCTGAGCTGAAATCAAGAGTTGGATGCTTAAACAACTGAGCCATTCAGACACCCCATGTATTTTTTTTAATGTTTATTTATTTTTGAGAGAGGGAGAGACAGAGACAGAGACAGATTGTGAGTAGGAGAAGGGCAGGGAAAGAGAGAGAGAGGGAGACATAGAATCTGAAGCAGGCTCCAGGCTCTCAGCTGTCAGCACAGAACCCAACACTGAGCTCAAACTCACAAACCACGAGATCATGACCTTAGCCAAAGTCAGAAGCTTAACTGACTGAGCCACCCAGGTGCAACACCCCCCACCATGTAACTTTTTCTTTTTTTTACATCAAACAAGATATATGTGGAAGCAAGTACATGACTAGAATATTATAATGGCAGGAAGTTTGTTAATGAACAGAATTATACAGGAGTAAATAGGAAATGAATATTTTGATATTTTTAAATAGCTACATTGTTTTCCTCTTATGAAAGATAGAATATATTTTCTTATATAAAGTATTTGAAGAACAACACATACATATAGATATGTAATAAGATGGTGCATATTGTACATGCATTTTTGTAACTGCCATTCTTCCATTTAAGAATATATAAGGCCTATTTTCCAGGGCCTCAAAAAATTATTCCATGACATCATTTTGTATTCTATGTTTTGTTGGAATATAGCCATTAGTCAGTCAATATTCACTATCACTAGATGTTCATATAATTTCTGATTGTTTTATATAAATATTTGTACAGACACAATTTTTCTTCTAAGAATAAATTACTAGAGATGGGGAATTAAAAGGAATGGGCATTTTTCAAGCACTCAATAGAGTCAAATTATCTTATTGGAAGCTACTACCACCTTGCACTGCCTAGGAAGAAAATGAGATTGTCAATTTCCTACACATTAACCAATAATAAATACTATATTTATAAATATAAAATCCACTTTGTAGTTAATCCACATTTATTTAACCACAAATATGTTTGAACTTTTTCTCATATTATGATAAGGAAAGATAGGATAAAACAGGCAGAGAGAGAAAGGTTAGGACCTGATGTCCCTGGATGGGAAAACCATGTATTTTAAAACAATGCTGGGAGTGTCTCAGCATTAAGATTCCTTGGGCTTAAGATTCCTCTTAAGAATATAACAGATACCATCTGCTCCCCTTCAGGTTTTCCTCAGGAATTTGACAATCAAAATACTTAACTTCAATACATAAACCATAAAATGTATGTTATAGGAGGGACAGTATGACCATAGTCTGACCCCTCCCACAATGGAAGAGAGCCAATCAGACATGAACATCCCAGCACCTTAGCCAATAAGGGTAGGACCTGAGAAGAAACAAGGGAGAAGGGATGGGGGGACTGACCAAAACCTTATAAAAAAGGCCTTTGCCTATAGCCAAGGGTGTTCACTTTCCAACGCCTCCTCTCTGTAAAGAGAACTTTCATACTATTCTTACTTTCTGATCTTATACTCTAATAAACTTTTGCCTGCTACTCATTTTATTGTGTGTCCACCTCTCCATCCTTTGAAATGGTGAGACAATAAACCAAGGCTATTGAGGGAAAAAAAAATCCTGCAACAATATGTGTATTGGCCATTCATATTTCAGTGTTTTGGCCTGATCCAAATTGTGAATTGAAAACACATTAAATAAATAGATACATGTATAAATACTCTCCTTATAAACCCCAATTTAAAATCATAATTCTGGAGAAAGAGCTATATTTTATAACTTGAATTAGAAAGAAAATTCCCTATCTGCTATAATTTTATTGAAATAATATCTACCATGTCAGTTACAGTAGTTACAGGTCAATTACATTATCAATTTAATTTCCAAATCTATAAAATAGTGATTCCCATTTTAATAAAGAAGAAAATTCAGGATTGAGAAATGTCAAATAATTTCCACTGACTCTGTGTGTGTGTGTGTGTGTGTGTGTGTGTGTGTGTGTGTGTGTGTAAAATAAATGATGGGGGCTAGGATTTGCAAGTTTGAATAGTCAAATTCCTTCATGTATCTATCTTAAGATGGTGAAATGTGATTTCATACCTACTTGAATAACCTGAATGTTCTTTAATATTTCTTAATTAATTCTTACTAAGTGCATACATCAGACTAGTAGATTTGCAATGCTGTGATGGCTGGGGCTAGAGAAGCAGGACTTGGGGGTGAGAGTCATGGTCAGACAAGGGGTGCCAAATGTATTCCTAAATCTGTTTTAGTTTCATTGGCACCAAGAGGAAGGTTTTTGTAGGTTCAAGATGCCCAGATCTAAGCAATAAATAAACAACTGTATCACTTGATCACTTTACTTTTGATATGGTAATTTAAAATTCAAATGGCAATACTCTACAGTTCTCATAAAACATTTACAGAGTGATTTACATAAATATTTGGTTTTATGTCATGATGGTTGACTGCCCTCTATGTTGGCACCACCCTGGGGCTGCTGTTTTAAATTGGTTGTGTGCCCTGAATTTTCCATGGTGACCATACTAGTTTTGAAACATTCACCAGAAACATTAAATAAGTTTTCTTAAGAAATAATCTCCACTAGGATTATCAATTATCTGCATTTTGCTTTAGACAAATTTAAAGGGTTCCATATGAGACTTTGTGATTAGCTAGTTATAAACTGAGATAGCACAATGGTTCCTACAACTATTCATGGTGCAAAAGTAATAACATACTGAAATAGGCATATAAGGATTAAGGGAATATCTGGATGTAAAAGCAGCTGCTTTTTTTTTTTAATATATGAAATTTATTGTCAAATTGGTTTCCATACAACACCCAGTGCTCATCCCAAAAGGTGCCCTCCTCAATACCCATCACCCACCCTCTCCTCCCTCCCACCCCACATCAACCCTCAGTTTGTTCTCAGTTTTTAACAGTCTCTTATGCTTTGGCTGTCTCCCACTCTAACCTCTTTTTTTTTTTTTTCCTTCCCCTCCCCCATGGGTTCCTGTTAAGTTTCTCAGGATCCACATAAGAGTGAAACCATATGGTATCTGTCTTTCTCTGTATGGCTTATTTCACTTAGCATCACACTCTCCAGTTCCATCCACGTTGCTACAAAAGGCCATATTTCATTTTTTCTCATTGCCACGTAGTATTCCATAGTGTATATAAACCACAATTTCTTTATCCATTCATCAGTTGATGGACATTTAGGCTCTTTCCATAATTTGGCTATTGTTGAGAGTGCTGCTATGAACATTGGGGTACAAGTGCCCTAAAAGCAGCTGCTTTTATTGAAGTCCTTACATTTCCTTTCTGGCCCCACAAGTGTAGGCTGTGAGTAAGAAGAGACACAAATTGCCTGTACTTCCACGTTCATGCTATGAAATCTGAGAGATGTTCACTTTACTCCTGGAAGAGGAGAAACTCAAACCACTCTCTGGCATCCTGTGTAATTAAGAATAGAGAGAATAGAAGGAAGGAAGGAAGAAATGAAGGACAGGAGGATGGATGAAAGCATAGAAAGAAGAGAGGAAAAAAAGTCTTTAAATCTATGTATTTGACACAAGCTAATTTGTCACTGGCACACAGTCTTAGGCAAGAGTCACCTTCTATGCCTTCTTCCTAGAAGGAAGGATTGCTAATCATCATGTCCTTTGAAACATAAATCAGGAAGCCCCTGAGAGATCCCAAATCATTACCTGACTACATGCGTAGCTGTAATTAATGACTGTTTGTAAAAGACTCTGAAGATGAAAAGCACCTTAATTGGAGTAACTCTCAATCATGCAGAAGCAGAAAATCTAAAGTAAATGGAAATATTAGGACATGGATGGATGATTTTAAACTAAAGCAACCAGACTTTGTGATTTTTTTTTCCTCTTAGAGTTTCAGATAAATTTTCAAAGCTAATTTTCAGTTAATGTTTCAGAGCTAAAACCAGCATGCTGTATATTCTAAATAAATCTACATTCAAGTCTCATGGTATATAAGAAAAGCTGTAACTAGTGGCTTGACTATCACCCGATACACCTCCAGATGAAGTGAAAAAAGAAAACTACTTTGAAAGAAATTTATAGGACTATATGCTTCTTTGGTCTTTTGTCTCTCCCAAGAGAAGAGATAGGGAAAGATACGCTTTCGCATACTCAAATCAAGGAGAGTGAAGGTTGCTAAAAGAATAGCTCAGAGTCTGGGGGTTGCTTGCAAAAATAGAGAGATGGACATCTTCCTCACTGGCTGGGGAAGAAGAAGAAGGAGGAGGAGGAGGGAGGAGAAGGGGGAGGAGAAGGAGAGGAAGGAGAGGAAGAGGAAAGAAAAAAGAAGAGAGAAGAAGAAAGAAGAAGAAGATAGAAGAAGAAGAAAGAAGAAAGAAGAAAGAAGAAAGAAGAAAGAAGAAGAAGAAGAAGAAGAAGAAGAAGAAGAAGAAGAAACAACAAAGAATGAATTCTCTCTGGTCACCAGTATTGAAAAAAATGACAGGAGGTTGGCAAATATAAACACACACACACACACACACACACACACACACACACACACACACAAATACAGGGATTTAGGAGTTTTGTGACAATAGGAATTGTGGCTTGTTTTCCCTACTGAGCTCTGAAATCAGGACTCTGACTAGAGCAGACAGCAATGGTAGGAAAGGGAGAGAGAACAAAAAATAGTAGACAATCTATTATTTTTAATCATTTACCAGAGCAAATATCCCCCAACTTGAGTGACCCTGGTATGTGTTTTTCACAAGACACTAGATTATTTTTAAAGAATATACTTTTTGAAATTAAGGTTTAGGACATAGCCATATTCTTTCACAATCTTATTATACCTAATCAATAATATAAGCTGCATCTCATTAGAACTGCCTGAGGACTTAGTTCCTAAAATTAGTATTTGTCCTATTTCTCTCTTTACAGACCATGTGAACTAATTTTTATGTTTGCCAAAACTAAAAGTAATAATCTCAAACTGCATCACATAACATGCAGTCTTCAATACTAGGTTTGTCTGATTCAAAATCTTGATAGTCTGATGACTCCAGACTCAGCTGGTCTTCTATTTTCTGAGTTCTGGATATCTGACTTCTGACTGAGCCTCTTCTACAAGCCTGGACAATTTCACTGCATATTCCTGTATTTAACTTATCAAATGTAATTTCTTTTGTTTTTAAATGTGAATGCATAGTATATGTGACAAACTTGATGCAAGGTCTCATTCAAATGCATTTGTAAAAACCTTCCAAAATTGCAAAGTAGCCACATTTCTTTTTTTTTTTTTTAATTTTTTTTTCAACATTTTTATTTATTTTTGGGACAGACAGAGACAGAGCATGAACGGGGGAGGGGCAGAGAGAGAGGGAGACACAGAATCGGAAACAGGCTCCAGGCTCTGAGCCATCAGCCCAGAGCCCGACGCGGGGCTCGAACTCCCGGACCGCGAGATCGTGACCTGGCTGAAGTCGGACGCTTAACCGACTGCGCCACCCAGGCGCCCCAATAGCCACATTTCTTGATGCCAAGGTACTATTTCAGATTTCCTTAAATTTGACTACTTTCACACATTGAATTATGGCATGCAGGAATATTTCTGGAGTGTACAGTTTTTAGTGGGAAGGATTTAAGAGTGTTGGAAATCCAATGCAGCTGACATGGTGATGCCTCTCCAGCTGTGAACAGGATAGAAAGGATGGGGTAGGATTAGTCTCACCCTTTGGAGCTCTTGGCATCATGGCAGCAACAAATCTGTGCTGAGTCCTAGAAGTAAAGGAGAGTAAGTGGCTAGGTGCAACCAAATAACATTTCACCTGAGCCCTTTGATTGAAAAATGTGATATGTAAATTCTGAGGGATACAGAATAGCCAAGAGAGGTGAGTGCTTCTTTACATCAAAAAAAGGAAGAGAATTCAACTTGAAAAAATGCCCCAACTCTCCTCCAACCACCTTTCCGAGGTTCTCTTTAAGTCATCTCTTATTGTCATAATGCAAGATAATATTTTTTACAGTAAACATCTTACTTGGTACTGATAATAATGATACTAATAACAGCACTGGAACTGGACAAATGATTTGTAATTCAAGGTTTGGTGATCCTGGAAGATAGTCTTTGTGTTTTGAAAAAGAATGGACTTCTGTGAGGTTCTACTTCCAGATTTGTAGTTCTGTCTTCATCCTGGCCTGGCCCTGATTTACTTCCCTTCACTTTAATCAAGCAACCCTTACTAGAACGACATTTAAACTCACCAGAAAATGCACTTCATGTTCCAAAGGGTAATGGGCTAAGACTTCATGTTGTTGTTGTTAGCTGTGGCATTTCAATTTACCATAATAGGAATCTCTTGCCTTCCCTTTTCTTCTGTTCCCTTCCCCTGCCCCCCGCCCCAAGAGTCTTAAAAGGAAAGAGTGCCAATATATTGACTGTATGAAAGTTTCAGACATTTTCACAATATACTTCCAGATTATTTTGACTACTGTTTTGACTAAACTTATCTTTGAATATTGCTACTAAAGAATCTATTACCCAAACATTCATTTTCAGCAATTTCCTAGCCTAGGCCTTATGGGAGTAAAACGGAAAGGAGCCAGAATCATTTGGGGAGCTAAATGTTTGTTTGTTGGCTGAGGAAGACCTATAAATGTATTCTACGAATGCTGGGAATCTAAGAGAAAAGAGAGGTATCCAGCAGGAATTGTGTATGTGAAATATGAGCATGTGCATGTGTGGGGGGGTGTGAATATGTACACGTGTGTGGAGGGGAGAGGTGAGCATAGGCATGTGTGGGGGGGTTGGGCAGATGTGTCTGAGGAGGGAAGGAATTTTAGGGAAATAAACATAAATTAGTGAATACAAAAATCCCACCATTATTACATAATGTGGTAGAATTCCGTAGTTGTGAATCTTAATGAGGTTATAAACCTGGTGTCTCAATTTTTTTTCCTTTAAAACAGGTGTCACAAGTGTATAGCAAAAATAAACTTAGTAAGATTATATATGTGAGTGTTCTGCAAAGTGTAAAACATGTTAATAATGTTTTGCTATTATCACTATTTCTATCATCCTCAAGTATATACCCCTCTCCTCTAAAATGCAAATCAAATGTAATGAAGTACCTAAAAACACTAAACTTTGCATCCTGATAAACTTGGCCTTGCTTTAACTGCTCCTTCACTTCCTGCCAAACTTACCAGCTCACAATTAAAAAAAAAAAATTACTTAATCCCACACATTGCCAAATTCTGGCTTAAATCTGAATGTATAATCTAGGTATTAGAAATACCTCCATAATTATGCAAAAATAAGGTCTCAGACGACAAGCAGGTTCCCCAACCTCAACTCTATTCCTAACTCAGGAGCACTGACTCAGGAGTTAGGCTGCCTGAATTTGAATCCTGTCTCCACCACTTATTCACTGTTGTACACATTACTTAACATTCCCTTGCCTAATTTTTTTCATTTGTATTTGAGGAATAATTATTACTTTCTAGAATTTTTTAAAGGATTAAAATTTTAATAGACAAGAATAAAGAAAAGTGTATAGTAAATAATCAATTCTTAGTAATATTTAGATTTATTATCACTATCAACATAATAAGATCATCAAACTATATAGCAGGCTCCATAAAAACTATGGATGAGAAAGATAATTCCATAGTGGTATTTAAATTTTGTCCTTTAGAGGTTACTATAGAAATTATGAGCAAAAAAGAAAGGAGACATACGTTTTGGATGAAAACAAGAACCTTGCTAAAATGGTAATCTATAATAAAATAATATACATGCCTAAAGTCCTTGGTTAGAATGACACAAATAGGTCGTAGGGCATGGATTGAACAGAAACACAAATTAAAATTAAGTAGATGTGTTAGTCCTGATAATGAAAATTAAAAGCTACATATCTCTCATACTATCTGAAGTATAAACATCTCAATGGCAAACACTGTGTTTCTTATTATTGTTAAATCTTTCCACCCTCTCCACATTATGACCAATGTTCCCAGAAGAGGAACATGAATAACTTCAAGTCTGAAATCCACAATAATTAAAGCTAAACTGGGGAGTTAAGATCCTGAATTCTAGCTGTTGGCTAGGGTCTTCCAGGATACACGTGTCTAATGTGTCTGTATAAGAGCACACATGCCTGGAGCTTCTGTATGTTAGCTTCTTTGGTTGTGCCCTTTAAAGACGGCTGCAGATTTTCCAAGCAGGTTCAATATCTAAATATTTATATATGCAGTTTTGATCATCTTCCCTTTTTTACTCTCCCAAATGTTTAGCTTCACAAATTGCAGGCATGCTAAATCTATCAGAAATTGACGGGGAAATTAGGAGGGCAGACAGAACTTAATATGGTGCTGAGCATGAGAGAGCTCAAGGAAAACAGGATGAGTTGATTATTAAAATAAATAAAATAACCTGACTAGTGTTTATGAAGGCAGTCAGAAGAGTGTTTAATGAGCTCCAGGAAAACAATCTGAAACAGAGGAAGAAGCGAAGCAAATCTCCAAGCGTGGCCTTATATACCAAAGGATTAGCAAAGACATCTTACCTTCACCTTCCTTAGGAACAGTCTCAGTGATTTAACATGTCAGAGAGCTTTTAATGACACACTACTGCAGTTTTAATTAATTTTTTCATCCATATGCAAGCACTCAATTAAAGCTTACCTCCTCCCCATATGGTCTAAGATTTGCTAGTTACATTTCAATTTAATGCATTGTTGCAGTGGTAGAATGTTAGGAGTGTTTTTATTTACAAATGAGGTCAATACAGTATTTTTTAGAAGTCTGACTTGTTTAACAGGATGGGAAAGGACACAACAGCTACTGGGTCACTGGCTCTCAGTCAGAAGTGATTTTGCCTCTCTTCCTGCAGGGTTATTTGGCAAAGTCTAAAGATATGATGTCACAAGCAGGACGATGCTACTGGCATCTGGTGGGTAGAAGGCAGGTATGCTGCTAAAAATCCTACAAGGCACAGTTCAGCCTCCCACAACCATGAGTTTTCTGGAACAAAATGTTAGCTAAAACTAAGAAGTCTTATATTAGGTAAAAGATATGTGGTGCTTCACTATATGAAGTATTTGCTTTGTACTGAATAAACCTCGTTTTTTTCTGACTGTACACAAATGATAACTACTTTATTGTTGTTGTTGGAAGTCTATTGCAGTGGAAACTGAATGGTCTAGTTATATTGAACACACTATGCAGCAGGACAAGGCAGGGGGCAGGCAGGATAGAAGGAAGGCTTAGGACTCTGTTTCTACCTTTAGAAACAGTGAAGAGGGAAGAGAATGTATTTTCTTGTGAGTGGATAAAGAACTGGACATTTTGAAAATGATCCTAAGGAAGACTGGAATTAAGGTTGAGAATGGCTAAGGATAACTGCTATAGTCACCAAAAGATTTAAGGAAAAATTGTAATTTGGGCTTAGTTGGTTTTAGCAAGCAATACTTTTTTAAAAAAATTAAATTCTTAGAGGAACTTAGCCTACCAGAAATAAAGTAGGCATTGTAAGGAGTTTCAGGTGAAGAGTCAGCAAGGAGAGTT